CCGGTGAGTGTTCGTAAAGTTGACGGCTATCGCTCACGTAATACATAATGTAACGTGTGCACCGGGAGGAGGGATCCCACAGTTCCTCCGACCTCCAAGCAACCTGCGCTCGTTCGTTCGCGTACAAACTGTCTAACGACACGATCCAACACCCGATATAAAAAGGAAGACGCACGTTCCTGGAAATAAGAAAGAAAAAAAAGATATTAGAAGCGAAAGAAACGTGGCTAGTTTATTGAAGAAAACTCACCGTATACATCGCAAGGAGACATATCTTCTAGAGCCGCTGCCCCAAGAGCAGTAGAGGTATTACTTTTATTCCGAGGCGAGAAAGTGTCGCATGACTATCGCAAGGAAAAGGGAGTTTCATGTCGAGTGGTATTGAGTGCATATCAATGGACAGGATAAGAAAGAATAAAAGAAACATCACGATTGTTCGGCGGCCGCACGCCCGCTTAGGCAACGCGTGGCTCGCACACCATAGCCACTCGAAGTATTTTGTATGGAAGGCAGGCCTTCCGACCCGTTTTTCTTCTTCAAGCGCTCATACTTGTTGATTTCTTGCTTACAGACATATCGACCTGGTATCGTTTTCTTTTTGTTCTTTTGCTTCTTCAGCTTCTTTTTTGCTTTCGTGCTTTTTGTTGCCGCAAGAGAAATGAACGTTCACAACAGTCGAGCAAGGCTGCGGCGACGCAACCCGCTTTTTTTCTTCATTTGGAGACACAAAGCTCGTGGCTGGTGCAGTCATGTGGATGGCCGTGAACTAAGCGTGCGATCCAGGGACTCTTGTCACGAGAAATTGCTGCGTAATCTCAGGTGCGCCGGATTAATTCACCGGGTGCTATGCGATGCAAGGACGGAAAAGAGGATTACGATATTACGATTGCACGACAAAGAAGCGCCCACCGCGGAGGCGCCCCTGTTTGTCTGCCTGCTGTGAGCCAACGAAGCGGGGATGTGTCGAACGATACGCTCTGTTCCCTGCATTCAGGTGTATTTGAGGTCAGATAGGAGGCGGCCTTGGCAGAGTGCGTTACGAAAAATCTTGTGCGTTACGAAAACTTTGGAAGGTTGGTGCTAGAAGGAGGTACGAACTACCCTCTTCTTCTCTTGTATATAGCGATATAGTTTTACAAGTGGCTCGTTGTAGATGCATGCAGCCCTAGACGTCTTACTTTCCCTCACCCTAGACGTCTTACTTTCACTACGTTTCCTTCCATATCATTCCTTCTCTGTTTTGATGCGTATATCTTGTAGCCTCATGCACACAGTACTCACGTATTCAATAACGTACGTGCTATATTACGTAACTTACACGTACGACAATGTGTATGCGCTAAACTACGTATACATTTTACTTATACTCAATATTTCGTATACCGTGCATGATGCATTTTAACATTTCAAACAGTCTGGACAATCTAATAGTGTGATTTTCGTCAGGTCACCGTGGCAATTTTTAAAGCACGCTTCCTTACTTTATTTCAGTGCATAGCGTGACGCTGAGCGCGATCTGCTCAACAAGAAGCCAGATTGACTAACTTTTCATGCTCACCCCGGTGCCTTTGATTAAAGGCTCGTTCATATTCCTGTGTGGGCGTACATCTGGTATGTGATGAAACAAAATGTAGGGGTGGGACAATATTCATTTTGATTCGCTTAAGGAAGGTCTTGCACTTTTTGGTACCCATGATTGGCCTTCGTTACCACGGTATTTCCGAATTCCGCGCATTGCAGGCGACAATGTCATGAAATAAAACGTGCGAACCCTTCTTTTTTACATGCGCGTACGGGTGGCTTACTTGATTAATATTTTGGGAACCTCTCACAGCTTGTGCCCTGAATATAAGCAGACAAACGTGTGATAACATACCCTCGCGCGATTATTTGCGCACCTGTGAGCTGCCTTGCGCAACCAAAACTACGTAAACAGTTGCAAAAAAAAAAAAAAACGTCTATACTTGCGTAATGCATGACATACTAATCTGTGGCGTTATCAATGGTGTCCCCATGGATGCTCGTTTCCTGCACAACGTCTGTGCCTTTTTGTGCGTGCCACTTATTTATCGGCATTCATTTTAATTAAAGTTCATTCTGCAACTAATATCTGAAGTCCCCGGCATCCGAGGCACGCGGATGGTATTATCGAAACGGCTGCTGTTTCGTACACGTACGTATATGGGACGTTCTTAGGACAGTCCGCGTCGAGTTCTTCCGTGGAACGTTAGCAGCGGGTTCATTCGGCCATGACCACCGAAGAAGAGCAGACTGGCGCCGTCTGCTAGACGTCGTTGTCGGTGGCGTGCGCGACAGCGTAACGAAGCGTACCTCGCAATGCCCGGCGTCGGCACGCCTGACAGTAAGCAGTTATGTAGGAGGCTGGATCGGAAGGCCTCCTTTTCCTGCCGAACGGCCGCGGCATACCGTTAGACAAGCCACGAAAGAGAGAGAAAGAATCGAACAAGAAAAAAGAGGGGGGGGGGGGGACACGTCGGCCTTCGCTCCCGATAACGTTGAGCCGGATTCCAGATGCGACAGCTTGCGTGGCCGGATGCTCTAGAGATCCGGCGCAGGTGAGGTCTCTGGAGCGATATAGCCCGTCTGGCACGGCGCTGATTCTGTAGTGTACGGCGTGGGTTGATGCGTATACTCGGACACGCCTGCGTGCATTTCCTAATAGCACAGTGTCGAACGTGATCCACTGAACGGAGAGTGTCACTGATAACGCTTATTCCTGTCCATCCTAAATCAGTTCTGCTAGAACGTGCGATACCCAGAGTACAATCTGGTTCACCTCCTTGACTATCGTACCTAGCGCGCTGAACTTTGTCGTAAATATCACTTCATACGGTGGTGTGTGCTCGGACGTAGAACTTGCGAATTGCATTAACGATTCTGTGCAAACAGCAGCAAGCTATACGGGTGGGACGCGATGTGGTAAGGAGCGGGATCATTCTCTCGGCCGGTTGTTTGCGCACACTGAATTTTCTTGTGAAGAGGATTACCAGCCATGCGTACCGACGAAGACGAAGGAAGAAAGAAGAGATGCCTTCAGGCTACAACTCGAAGATTGTTGTTTTACACATTTTTATGGCTCTAGATAATTTTGTGCTATTCTCTCAAATTATTCGTTTAACGTCCTGAATTATCCTTGTTGTGAGTGTACCTTTTAGTTTTCTCTTAGTTGTACTGATGATGCACTGATGCACTGATGCACGATTGACCAAGATGGTGTATGTCCCTTTGTCATTATATTTCGATAAAAATTTTCATAGTTCAAATAATACATTTTATTTTTGTCCCTTTTTCAAACAAACAGAGCAGAGGTCAATCAAAGCTGTCTGCCCATAGCTTGACGAGCCCGTCACGTCTATTACAAGGGCCCACGGCAGCACAGTGACAGTTACACCTGCTTACAAAAAAAAGAACGAATAGGTACAATCAGCAGCAAAACATCGCGGGATGTGCAACGCGTGGCGAAGCGGTAGAAAACTGCACTGCTGCGCCACCTACCGTGACGTGCACCATGATGTTGAGGTTATCGGCGATGGCTTACAAGATTAGATTCAGCAGTGGCGCGTTCTCTAAACGCGCCGTTGCTGATCACCGAGGCCGCGTACGGTAGCCTCGACATCATTCCGCGGCTTGGTAGACGGCGCAGCAATGCAGTTTTCCGCCACTGTCCACGCGCTGCACAGCCCGCAAACTTTTGCTGTTGAATGTACATCATTGTAAAAACGATAAATCACCAGAGAACATAGGTTTGCAGGGCTGCGGCAAGAAATCGCTATATTTGTAGCTTTATGTAGTACGAGCTACGCTCGCATATTCGAAGCACATCTGATCGCAGACCAATTGTACTCGGGTTATGTGTTCGCCGATCAGATGATCAGGTGATAGCTACAAACGCAGCGGACGATGGTAAAAAAATGGGAAGGAAAGAAGTAGTCTCCGTGATGATGTCACGAAAATGAGAAACCTAACCGGCTGACGCAAACTTACGAACATTTGATTTAAAGCTCGACAACAGTGGCATCGCGAAACTACGGCATTGGTCAAATCAGTGTTTAGATGTTTTAAATTTTCTTTTAGAATTTCTTAGAAGTCACTACATATGTACTTCGGTGCAAGTACCTATGTGCCGCTAGTGCTTGCACCTTGCCACTGGTCATATTGTCTTGCTTTAAACTAACTGTTTCACTCATGTCAACATGTCCCATCAATTCTTGATGGAGTGGGTGTGCAACTGAAAGTGTCTATAGAGCTATAGCTACCTCCTTTCTATTTTGAATGAGTTGTGGCGTCCTCATTGTGGTGTATAAACCAAATGCGCACGGGGTTGACATCTCATCATTTCCTTCCCTCCACCTCTAACTCTCTTTGTTACAGCACTTCGCGATAAAGGAGGGTAGATTCGAAACCGCTATGCAGGATAAACGACCGCCCCCTTTCGTAAACGTGCGCGGACGTTCATCATAGATGGCATTTTCATGGCAGTTGTGTTTCAAGACGTGTCAGAGTTCCCGTGTGCGATGAAGTGTGGCCACCGAATGACTGGAGGGATACATGTCCTACATTTCGGCTCGATGCGTGCACATATTCCCTTGTCCACGTCCTATAATCAAGGCACGCCACCCGATGCCTCAGTGTATCAAATTCGCGCCTTTTAATCTTCGCGCACGGCCGAAATGTCAGACACGATGCTGATGCGTCAACCCCTTTGTGAAGAGTGCACGATGCGCGCTTAAGTGGGCTCAAAAGACGAAAGAAAGAAATGGGTGGTCTATACTGATTGACCCCTCCCAGCGTGTCGCAGCCTTTCGACCTTTCGACGCCACGCCGTACGTGTCTATAATTTCTGACACCAGTTCGTGCAAGCGTGGAGAAAAGGGGCTAGAAGCGTCTTCTTGGGGCGTTGAGCAACTTTTGTTTCTTTTTGCGTGGTCCATCAACCCATTGGCCTACAATAGGAATCCTCTCTTTTCTGATTGCAGGTTGAGCTGTGGGCATCGAACCGGACTGACCATCGTCGAGGCGCGAAAGACCAACAGAAACTTCCACGAGAGCTCGCACGCAGGGGCCGTTGTCAACTTGTGCCGTTGCACTAAGGCGTCAAAGCGGAGACGATCATGAAGCCCTGATGGGCTTGTGCTTGCTCCTTGCGACGTCCAGTGTCCCCTCACGGGCTAAGACTCTTCTAGGACGCGTCAGTCACCTCGTGGTGTAGTGCCATGGCGTTCCGTAAGGGCGCCAAAGAGATGAAGAAGCAGTCGTACTACGTGTGGTTCCTTGGGGCCAAGGAGTCCCGTGGTCTCCGAGGCCTGGAGTACATCGGACCCGTGCTGCGGTTCTTGCTGGAACGGGAACGGGAAGTCGAGCCACCCAAGGTCACGCTACAGGTGAGCCGCGTCGTATATACCTTGCACGAGAACTAAACACAAAAAACGGTTTTTTTGTCGTATTTGTAAATTTCTCTGTCAAGGTACCACGAATCCCATGCATGCGGTGCGAAAACGCTTGGTAAGCAAAAAAAAAAAACGAGCAAAAATGCGTGTGGTGACGCCAACGTGAAGTTCCCGCAACCATCACGTCATAGATTATGATACTGTCTGTTTGCGTCTACCTAGTTCTACAGCGATAAAATGAAAGTACAGGGTGTGTCAAAAGATCACAGGCCATGTTCCCACAGCAATACAAGAGATAGTGGCCTGGAAACATTTCAGTGTCCTCTCCTCCCCCCCCCCCCCGCCCCTGCATGATCACTTGTCTTCCGAGAGACTTGACATACCAAGTTTCTGAAAGTTTAGTTGAGCACTATGACCATAGTATAAAAAAGAGTTATTCATGATTCCAACAGAAATTACGGTAGGAAACTGAAAAAGTGGGACCTTTGACATTCATTACAATTATTTTCTAATCTATTGATGAACTTATCGAAAGAAATTGCCGGTATTTGAGCTTTTCGAGTATAATTGATTGGTCAAAACTAATTTTGTTGTTTCACTTTAATATCCATTTTCGATGAGTGCTCGCAATTCTGCAACTTTTCGACAACACAGCCGATTACCTGAGACGTGACACCCTTCAAAAGTTTTGTGCAGACATTTAGGATATTCGTGAAAAGGCTGCTTTCCGTGCATAATATATAGTGATGGGTAATAGATTTATTCGAATATTAGGAATGATGACCTGTTCGTATACGATGAAGTCGAGATGTGTGCATACGATGCATTTAGGGCTCTGAAAATAGGAAAACAGCTCTTCTGTATAAAAAGGTTCTTCAACCAAGTGATACCCGTAGCCGGGCTGGTTTTCTTTTCCTTTCGTAAAACACGTAGAATAGCGCAGATAGCACGACATCATTCCAGCATACGGCATCCGTTATGAATTAAAGCAGCTCATGAAAATATTCCTCGACGGTAGGTGTATGGGTGACCACAGTGGAGGCTGAATGTATGGCAAGGCTCTTGAGAGCTATTTTTTTTTGCTGCGCTGTGTACGCGTTGTTTGCTTCTGATTTTAAAAGGGGCCATAAAAAGTTTCTAGGCTCTTTGTAATGGAATCATTTCATAATAAATACTAGCAAAAATGTAATGCGAGCAGGTTGTTACGGTATCTGTGACATCCCTTCCTCTCTGGGGCGCTGTTACAATGAGACTCATATCTGCGTGTTCATCGGTACACGGGAAATTAGAACAACTTTGTTGAACATTTACGAAAAAAAGTAGAGATCTGGTCCAACGACCGAAACCGATGTCAAGCAGACTAGAGAACTTTGTGCTACAATCCTATTTTTGTGTTGATTTCACTTGCCATAAGTGAAGGGTTGCTCGAAGAAGCTCACGTGACTTCACCACTTCATAATAGTGTAGACCCTGAGCTGCGTAATAAAATGCCTGACGAAGATGACGTACTATACTCCGCGATGCATGGTTGAAGCCGTATTGCACTTGTCATAACGGAAAACGCAGCTTGTATCCCGACCACTGTTAATAATACGTGCGCATTATTCATTTTTTGTACACTACAGGTCAGCGGTAAAGGCATCAAGATGGTGCAGAACATCGCTCGTGGCCTTCGAGGCAAGATGGAGCAAGTGAAGCACCTGATCCCACAGCACGCAGTCACTTGTGTGCACCAGGATGGTGACCTGGTGTGCTGCATCTTGCTGCTCTACAACCCGGTCACCAGGTGCCCCGTGCACGTGCACGTCTATCGCTGTGATTCTCCCGAGACGGCCACCATGCTGCGCCAGCAGCTGCAGCAGCTCGTCGAGCGGCCCGACAACCAAACCAAGTTCCGTGAGATTGAACACCGGCTGGCGGCCAAGGGATTGCTGCGCGAGCACTCGTTCCATCACCACCACCATTCGGGTCCTCCACGTATGCCCTCCGACGGAAGGACCGAAGACGGTTCCGAGGACCGCAGCGACGTCTCCGAGGAGGAGGAAGAAGAGGGCCTCGCCACGTCGCCACCCCGAAGGCCCGCCGCAGTTCTGCCTCCTTCGGTCCACTGGCGCGACATCGGTAGGCTCAGCCACATCCAGTGACCGGATGGCGAGCCTGTACGCGTCTCTGGCCGCTGAACTACGTGAGAAACTGAGCAACCCCGACCGCGGCCCGCTTCTGTTGCCTCCCAAGGACTATGGGACAGTATGCAAGAGGTCTTCAACCAGGCCCGAGGGTGGCTCCAAGTCAAGCAGCGGTATCGGCTCAGACGAGCTTCTGCCCCGTGAGCTGGACTCGTCATCTGATGATGAGTGGCCCGCCCAACAGCATCGTCAGCGGGAGCAGCGCAGAAACCGCCGACCGGTCTCCTTCCCGGCCGCCTCAGCCCCTCCAGCAGCGGTTTTCAGTGCACTGCCTCAGAAGCACCGCCAGCCGCATACGCCACAACGCCAGGCCCAGACGCCGCAGCCATACCGCAACGGACAAGTGCCACACCAGCAGAGGCCGTTTTCACAACAGCAGCAACACCCTCCTAGCCACCGCCAGTTGGCGTCGTCTAGGCAGATGGTACTGCCCGAGTCAAGGACATACCAGCCACACCATCAGCCGCAGCAGCAACAGCCAGAACCCTCGAGGCAACACAACCAGAAGAAGAGCAGGGACTACAGGCACAGCTTCGTTGAGCCGTCGACACGTAGACCTCTGCCTCTGTGAGAAAGAAACCGATCGACGATTCGCAACCAGTCGCTTGTTCGCGACGTAGAGCGAACCAAGTCTACACAGATGCTAACCGCTCATGAGACGACGCTTACATGACGACAGCTTCCAGTGACAGCCGCAGCCCTACATACAACGCCGCTCTCAACTGTACAACCTCACATTTGTACAAGTCGTGTAGAGTGGCGCACCTCCTGAACGGTCACTCAGTCTAGAGCCAGCGCGTGAGACGTGGCTTGGAGTGATATGCAGAGTCAGAACCGCCAGGGAACAGAGGTCCATGAATACAATGAAAACAGGACTCGCAAGATACGGGGGATTCTCCTTTTAAAAGAAGGAAGAGAAACGAGAGAAGGCAGTGGTTTCAGGTTTCTGCGGGACACTCCTTGAGCGTGAGTGTGAATTATATAAAAGCGCGGCCGGAATACTTCAGGTTACTTTCGGGAAAAACGTGATAAACTGAGCATAAAAGGTTTAGCAGGACCGTATTGCCGGGAAATAAAGAAGCCTGGCAGGTGCTTGCAACGAGTCCCACTTTGCAACGAGGGAATGTGCGTCGCCGGAGCAGGTTTCTTCTTGACGACGGGTGTTTCACAGCAGTGTGCATACGCCTGGTCCTGATCGTGGCTTCGCGACAAACGTGTGCTCAAAGTCTCGCAAGATGATGTGAGGTTTTCTCGAGACTGCAAATTTTTCGGGACATAGAATTGTTTCGAAATGAGTGTTATTATAAGTGTTGTTTTATAAGATATAGAGCTCACTCAGTGAGCTCAAATTTCTACTGCGTGTCAAGTACAGCAAGCGCCGTAGATATTTGAGAAGACGAAGCTGATTAACAATCCTCCGATCAGCGAAAGCAAATCGGATAACACTGGGGAAATACGTGAGCCAGGACCTTCCAATGCCGCCACTGCCAGCAACCTAACCAACACTGGAAGCAACTACACAAGCTTGGAACACATCTCCAGAAACTTCGTCCATAAGGACGATGTTATGTTTTTTTTTGCTTCTAAGAATTTTAACTAAACAAAACTGCCTTTGCTGAGGCTGCGTGCTCGTGGACTGGTTTTTGGACTTGTTCAAATGACGCTAGTAATAAATAAAACTAAGAAGTAAACAGTTCGTGGACTTTGTGTTTGATATTGATGCGCTGTCCTGCTGTGCTTTAGCAGCGAGAATAATAAAAAAAACACATATTGTAACATAACGAGGAGAAGGCACATATTTTTATTGTTCACTATTTACGATAGCTATTGTACACATTTATAGCATATAATGATGGCTACTAAGCATAGAAACCAAACAAAATTACATGTGCATTTTGTTTTTGTCACGATATTAGTACTTGCGCTTTCATCTGTGTGGAACGACCACAGCTTTCTTTCGGCAGGTGATCCCGTTAGAAATATTCGCTCGAACATATGGGAATGACTCATCTCCTGCGTGGCAAAGTCACAATCACCACGTTCATTATAATGACTTAGTTCAATCAGAATATGCTTATTTCTTAATCCTGCGACATAGCTGTAGCTACTAGACTGGTGTGTGGTTAGCTATATTATCAAACTGCAAAAACTTCAGGCTATACCGTGTACCTCAGATGTAGTGGGTATCCAGCAAGCCCAGAGGTATGTGTCAATGATTACTCAAGATATATTGCAAAAATACCGATGAAGTGCATACTGTCAATCCAGTACGCAAGAGACACAACAAGAGATACCACGATTATTGATGTATGTTCATTGCACTATCATATCCACTACATGCTTAGTTTTCATTACGGGCCCAGCAGAAGCTCTTGTCAAGTGGGAAGTGTCCCAAATGCGGTACATTCTGTAGCCTCCAGTACACATAGTGCAGTAGCCGAGGTAGGCTAATGAATACAGCAAATGCGGTGCAGCGACATACATAAAGATGCATGCTGCAGATACAGTGGGCAATCGGCGGAACCAAGTTCAGCTAACGGGCACTACATATACATTGGGCAACCAACAAAAACTTCGATCAGCTAATGATCACCGCAGACTAAGCTCATGCTGCAGAACAGGTGAGCATGCAGCAAAACTTCGTCACCTAAACTGTACTAGAAGTCTCGTGCATTCCACAGATCCAATAGACAATAAGGGGGTATGGTAGGGTAAACGCCTAAAAGTATCGAATTCGCGATTTTGACACCAAAAAATTCACTGCATCCTGAGGAAGAAACCTTTCGAAGCCCGACGTCGATCGGCCGCGCCAAGCGGTTTAAATGTCGCACAGAAGTGCCCCACGCGCCCTCTGTCGTAAGCAGTATGAGCACAAAAAATACGTTTTCTTCAAATTGCGTTTTCTGTAAATTTTGAAACTTCAATGTACCTTTTCTCAAAATGTATTGAATTGATTTCGATGAAACTTTGTATGCGTGAGCCAAATTACTTTAGAAAGAATTTGAACTAAAAAAAGTGCTGATTTCATAAAACATAGAGCTGTAAAAATTACACAATAAGTACCGGCCTTGGCGTTGTGCAGTCATTTTTTTTACAAAAACTTCATAAAAATTATACTATTTTTTATTTCAGATATATCTCGCGAGTCTCTACAACAACACGATCGAATAATGTTACATTGCTTTCGATAGTTGCAAAAAAAGGTACCCTGAATAAGTGAACCTCCTTTAAAATTCGGGAGTGGGCCATAGGAAAGCCAAGCAACTTAGGCTAACAAAAAGGGTGTCACTTGATACATAGTGGAATTTTTGTGAGCACGTAAAATTTCATGGAAATACTTGCAGCCGTTCCTGGGATATCACGCTAAATCTGAAATATATCATTTACCCCACCTTACCCCTAAAGCAAAGCTTGAGGTCTGCTTGTAAGTACTGCAGATCCAGCGTAATACCACAAAGTCAGTGGATGCTCAGTATAACCGCATGGCAACTAACGAATTACCGTTTGTTCAATGCCCCTTGCACATCCAGTGGTTGTGCAGCAAAAGCCGGAGTCAGCTGATTAGTACAAACACGTTCTGTGAGTACTGCATGTTCATCTGGTGCAAGCAATACTTGATGCAAGCTAATGACCAGTAAAGGTCTGGAGTAGGCTGTATATATAATTGGTTTTAAGGAAAATTGAAGCCCTCTTACTGAGTATAGATCCAATACAGATACAGAGAACTTGACTGGAAGACGTCTTCAGAGACGATGCATACAGACAGATGCACTGAGTGACCAGAAATATTCGAAGCCAAAAAAGAGAGGAAAATTACCTGTATGAGTACCAGGATGATGTTAGAAGTATTGAGTGCTGAATGTCTTAAGTGACTTTCATATCTAGGCAGAAATATGCAAAGAAGAAGGAATATATATGCCAGAACATGGAATGAGTTTGACCTAATTACAAGTGTTTTATTACGAGGAATGCAAAAAAGGAATGCGTCATGACAAGACAAGGGAAACCTCAAAATGCGCAGCAAAATAAATAACCTCTCACCCACACATAACACATGTTGGCCTTGAAACAAACCTGTCTGAATTCATTGATAAAGACTGCGTTGGTGAATTTTCACGCAGTGTTATCTTTGAATGTGAACACTTACCTGGGTCGAAACATATCGATATTTTGGATGGGGGCTAAGCCACATTTTTTATGAGAAGCTGAAGTTTTGGGACTGATATGACTCCTTCCTCAGAAGCTGACTGTATCGGAATTCTCTTTCCATGGCGTGTGGACGGCCGTGTGCGTATACCAGAAGTATATTATTCCTTGTAAATGGTTTATCTTTGAAAGTACGTCCTGAACCGGCTGTGATTCGAGGAAAAGCCTTCTTACAGCTTAATAACGTCGGGCGTGACAGGAGGAGCATGTCAGCTGCAGACGTAGCCCACCTGGCTGGAATAGCCAGCAATATCAAAACGCCTTTAATAAAGTACGGAATCTTTAAAGTTGTTCGTAAACGTATACTATTCACTCTAATCAAAATAAATCGCCAGGCATGTGAATAATGCGGCATTCACAGTGATGCGGAACTCTTTACAAGTATGTATACCCTTTTAACTACTTAGCGCATCTTGCAATGCATGGCAAAGTGGGGCAATTCATGCCTTTGTACCGCACAGTTTATTTTACTTCCCACCACTAGTCCCAGCTGGTACGAACGAATCACGTAGAAAAATGTGTCAACAGTGCCTCAATGTGGTAGTAGATTTGAGGCCACGATATAGCTTACAGGGCGTCCATCTATGGATTTACATGTGCACCCTTTTATGGGGCATACTGCTGCAACTACCGAGTAGGCTTGCACTGACGTCAGCTCACTTGGAGGACGGCGACAGCGCCCGGCAACTTTTATTCAAGTAATCATCGAATGACTTTACTAAAGACGTTAGCTGCCCCATGAATCAACTGCCGGAAAAATTTTTACCATTCCTGAAGTATACGAGCGGAGTTACAGGTAGTTACACCTTTAGGTTCTTTCTCTCTCCTTCCTTACCATCTATCTATCTATCTATCTATCTATCTATCTATCTATCTATCTATCTATCTATCTATCTATCTATCTATCTATCTATCTATCTATCTATCTATCTATCTATCTATCTATCTATCTATCTATCTATCTATCTATCTATCTATCTATCTATCTATCTATCTATCTATCTATCTATCTATCTATCTATCTATCTATCTATCTATCTATCTATCTGTCTATCTATCTATCTATCTATCTATCTATCTATCTATCTATCTATCTATCTATCTATCTATCTATCTATCTATCTATCTATCTATCTATCTATCTGTCTATCTATCTATCTATCTATCTATCTATCTATCTATCTATCTATCTATCTATCTATCTATCTATCTATCTATCTATCTATCTATCTATCTATCTATCTATCTATCTATCTATCTATCTATCTATCTATCTATCTATCTATCTATCTATCTATCTCGCCATTTTCGTTTAGATGCTCTCTCCACATACACCAAATTTCGTATCACGTGGCGCGTGAATAG